ACTCACAGCTAGATATAAATTACTTGCTCCTACTCACTTCTGTTCCTCATTCCAAATTAACATCAAAACCGTGTCCTTGCCTTACTGGAAGTGTATTCCAAGAGGCTGAAGCAAGGCAGGCATGCTGGACTCAAGCAGAACACTTGCTTTGGACTACCAGAGTACTGGTAGAACTGGAGATTATATCAGTCTTGCACTTCAGATGCAACCTCAATAATACTTTGTTCATTGACACAACATGAACCCTGGCTCTCATCTCCACCCTTTCCTTGGCTATGAAATAGATAAATCTCCACTTCATACTCAAGCCTTTTCAGTCAGACTGCAGCTGCTACCTTGCTTAACTGCTCCTGCTTAACTCAACCATAACTCTCATTTGCCAATCAATGTCTGCCTAAGTCTAATTCTAATGCAAGCTCAGTGATCCCTATAAAACCTTGGCTCAACAATAACCAGATCTCTCTGGGTGATACCAGCCCTTTGTAGACCTTAAGACCCTGCCATAAATAAACTTCTGCTGCTGGCACGAAACACCTTAACTCCAAACTTGATTCATTTACTCCTCCTCAACAGTCCCAACCCTGACCCTAACCAAACAGTATTATTGCTAAATCCTATACCTAGCCCAGTGGCAAATTCTAGACTTGTCCTCACCCTATGTCATCAGCCAGCCTCAGTCCCAAACCTAACCCTAGCTTTATGCTCAGAGTAACAGTTCTTGTCAGCCTCCAGCTTGAACCTAGCTAAACGACAGACACCAACACCGGTCTTAATGAGGGCTGGTTGTATTAATATCTTACTGGCCCGAGTCCAGCCATATTAATACTATCCATCATTAATCACAGAAACATCAAGGATGGAAAAGACCTTCAAGATCATCAAGTCCAACCGTCTGCCCTACAACCCCTAACCACTAAACCATGTCCCAAACCACCACATCCACCTGGGTTTTTTGAACACCTCCAGGGATGGAGCCTCCACCACCTCCCTGGGCAGCCTGTTCCAATGCCTCACCACTCTTTCTGGGAAGAAATTTTTCCTAATATCAAATCTGACCCTCCCCTGGTGCAACTTGACCCAGTTGGCAGACAGTCATGAGTAGTGTTCCCCAGGGCTCAGTGCTGAGGCCACTCCTGTTTAACATCTTCATAGATGATTTGGATGAGGGGATAGAGTGCACCTTCAGTAAGTTTGCTGATGACACTAAGCTGGGCAGGAGCGTCTCTCTGCTTGAGGGCAGGGAGGCTCTGCAGAGAGATCTGGACAGGCTTGATCCATGGGCCAATGCCAGTTGTATGAGTTTCAATAAGGCCAAATGTCGGGTCCTGCACTTTGGCCACAACAACCCCTGGCAGTGCTACAGGCTTGGGGAGGAGTGGCTGGAGAGCTGCCCAGCAGGGAGGGACCTGAGGATGCTGACTGACAACTGGCTGAACACGAGCCAGCAGTGTGCCCAGGTGGCCAGCTAGTCATCTCAAGATGACCTCCACAATGATGTGTCCGTCATCCCACATCTTCCAAAGTATCTTTTCTGCCAACTAATACGTGTGGAGAGATAGATGGTATGTATCAAAAATACAGGTTGACAATTTCCTCAGTGGATAATTGTACTACTGAAAAATTACATACCTAGCATACTTTGACAAGTCATTAAATACCAGTTTTAAACAATATTTGAAGACAATTTCTATGCAGGTGGAATAGGAAAATATATCGAACAATAATGAGGAAATCAGGTTGTGTATATTCCAAGCATATCATGTATTATTTGGCTGTTCTTACCTACTACCACAATATTCTGACAGTACTATTGGAAAAAGTAGTTTTCTGGCCAACATCTTAAGGGAGAAATCCTGTCTATTTATTCTGAAATAAGAAATGCTAAAGTATTTTAAGCCTGAAGAGAAGTGTTACAACTACCTATAGTAGAGTATCCCCTACAGTAAGCACTTGGCACTTGCAACATTAAAATGAAGGATAAAACATAAAACTTGTTTTCTGTAAACTGCTGCACTTCTTCAGGATGTAAGAAAGAAATGTAAGCCATGGCTATCAGTCATTATCTACTCCTTTAATTTACACTCAAATTTCCAAAGTTTTTGGAAGAGATGCCAGACTTAATGTGTGGTACCTGTAATTTTGACTGTCGTCTTTGAATCAGTGCACTTCATGTATTTTTCTCCTGACTAAACAACAGGAAGTCATATACTGCATATAAGCAGCACAAATATTAATTTAAAGTCAATATTCTTAAATATGATAAATTTTTGACACTTACCTGAGGCCTCTAAGTTAGGAGCCTAGTCACCTCAGACTCCTTCTACAGTCAAGGAAGAGACACAGGCCAACTTCAAAGAGCAATTCAGATCTTAGTTCAGCTGAACCAAAGTCTGAAGGTGCCCCTATTCTCTGTTAAATGTTTAGGATGACTCCTTTGACTAAACTTTCCACAGATGTTTCAGTTATGTCCCTAACAATAGCTGAGCCTTAGTTCATACCATATTTGAAGACTGAGTCATAGGTTTTAATGGACAATCTAGTACCTTTGCTTTTTCATTATCTTCAATTCCACCTACTGCTATTGACCTAATAATATTAAATACTGAACTAGAATTTCAAGATTAATATAGCAGCCAAAATATACTTTTAAAATATTATTTTTAAAAATCATCATTAATTCATTGTCTTTTAGTAAGATTTAAGTAATCTTTGAGGATAAGACTTGAGTTATACCTGCACAAAACCGTGCAGCTAGCTCAGAAACTGAAAGAAGAATAGTCAGCCAGGATGGCATTCAAGGCAGATTATTAGCTCCCAAGACATCAGGAACATAACACAAAAGCAACAGAATAACACAGTTATTCCACTATTTTACACCTGAGATACCTCGTTTGTAATTAGGGTATCTTTACATAGTGCAGATTTAAGATGTGCAAAACTAATCTTAGGATGCAAAAGCTTCCACGAGACTTTAAAAAGTGTACTTAAGTTGACATAAGAGAGCCTTTTCCAGAACTAGTTTTCTTTCAGACAGAAAAAAAAAAAGAAAGAAAAGGGAGATATTCCATATGCAGGTATTTGTTTGGTAGGAAAACTACAGCTCTTGTCATTTCAAAGATGTTCTGTGCTAAATTAATTTGTGTACAGAAGTTACAGTAAGCACTTTGATTCTCGTGATGGCACAAGATGCAGCCTGGATTTCTGAATTCAGTATGTAAGTCAATCCCTCGAGGAGCCGTGAGAATGCTGGGAACAGCACTATAATTTCTGCTAACCTTCATATCCATAAATTAGGTAGGGTAAGTTTAAAAAAAATCCAGGAGGGAAGAAAGGGGACAGACAGAGAGACCTGCAGAGATAAATAAAATAATCATCAGCAAAGGAATCTGAAGGAAACACCTTCTTTGAGGTTTCATAATAAACTGATAATGATTCTTTTGTGTATCAATGGCAGGAACAGCCTTTTCTATCTTGAGAAGGTTCATAAGGTGTCACGAGCTTCATATTTGAAGCAGCAAGAAAACAGGAAAGATCTGAATGAGCTGATATCAATTGTCAGAGTACAGAAAATACTGATGTTCATAGAACTGTTTTCCTCCTTACTCCAAATGGAGTAAATGTACTAAGAAAGCAATGCTTGACAAACTTGGTGTGTAAGCCCTTACAACAATATACTTTATAAAACTAATTTCTTAAATTCAGGGCAATAGCTAAGCTACTTGCTGTGAGATCTCCTAGCTGCAACCAGCACTACTGTGTTGGTGCAATGAAGCTGGTTTGAATGAAAAATATTTGGATTACTTAAAATACTATTATTAATAATCTATGCTTAATATATTAGTAGTTTTCTCCACCCAATGTTTAATCTATATAGTTTCACCTAAAAAGTTTCAAGCAATGAACTTCTAGTTTGCATAGGTTAGTAAGAAATCTTTATACTATTTAAATAATTTTTCTATATAATAAAACCCTCTTTTCATTAGTTTAGTAATTCTTGACACAACACGTACTTTGAAATCAACACTTCATATTCCTCAGTTTTTCATTCCTCATCAAGTTTCCTAAAACTTGTTGTATCTTTCTCCTTTTCTTCACAGGCCTTTTTATAATTTTTGAATGTTAAAAAAGAAAAATTCTGTACTTTTTTTTTTTACTAATTTCATTTCCTCTCCCCCTGACAAGTTTTTAAACTAAGAGAAATAATAATAAAACGATTATTTAATTATAGTTCAAGAATGCAATTCATAAAATTGTTTTAAGGTTTAAATATTTTACTTGCTCAAAGTTCATTTTTCCCATTACTTTCCTAGTTGAAATGAAAGTAAAGAATTAATTGATCACAGAATATTGGAACAGTAACAATTCTCTACATTACTCTGCATAGTGAGAAAAAAGTGAAAACTGTTTTCACAAAGCACCAAACAACATAAATGGAAGTTCATCACTTCCCACCACTTCAAAACTATATCACAGTGTCACAAGTTAAGACAACTAAATAATGATTTATATGTAACTAGAAATATACCCTGGAAGAACTATCTAGGTGGGATGACTGTCTATTTTGATTGTGTCTTCTGTACATTTCCTCCTTGACATTTCAAGTCACACAAAAAATACAATTTCAAGACTATAAACAAACATCTCCACATTTTTCTCTATACGAATTCCAATATATGCCTATGCAGGATATGCAAATCCTAGAAAACAAGCATATGGTAGAGATTAAAATATTATTTTATTTTCTCAATTAGTTTCTTTGACCTTTAAGTGGTCCAATACTATACATATTCTGAAATAATTTTGTTTTTCATTGGTTATTGTCAATAGTGCATCTTTATAATTACTTCATGAGATTTTCAATGCTGACATAAAGCAAAGCAATTCAAATTACACTCTATCAGTACAAATACTCTTACAGCTATGATTTGACAAACCACATGTTTAAGAAGACAAGAGTGTGAGATTTGAAAATATTAGATCTGGACCTATCAAAAACTTACCATGCATCACTGATAGACTTGGTTTAGATTCTTCAAGACGCTCTGCAGTAGTGTTCACTAAAACAGCATAGAAGTAAAAAATAATGTCAACATATTATAGTAAGAAAGAACAGACATATAAAATTTCACAAATGTTGCAATATTAATTCATATTTATAATTGCAGAATTTTGGGCATATTGGTGTAAACAGTTTACAAAGTAAAAACTGGTCCTTCACAACATAAAAGTATGTCTCTAAGTATACTTAACATTTTTAATACTTCTAGAACCAGGAAAAGAAACTAGTAATTAAATTGTCACTAACTGGAACGTGAAGCTGCAGTAGTCAATATCTTTGGACACATCTGTGTGCTGTCTTTGTGTCCCAGGGAAGAAGGTTTGGCCCAAAGCTACTTAGTCAAGTCTAGCCTAATTGACAGTTGTATTCCCAGAAGATCTGCTGTGTCCATGCTTCATATCAAGTAGTGAAAATCCTATATAGAACATATACTGGATGGAGGGAATTATCACTTCTACATTCCTCAAACCATCTTGGGGCCTAGGAGCAAATTCCCTTGTGTGCCATGATCTGTGCTTCAGAGGAGCTGAATATGACCACCTCCAACTGAGATGCCATAGAGCCAAACTATTACCATTCTCTCCTCACAACCAACTCTCTCCTGTTAGGTTCAGTTCAAGCCAATGTCCTGACAATAAAGCAAGACAGTTTCCAAACTGGGATTAGAATTAATCCAGCTCCCACCATCTATTGCAATAAACCTATTTCAAGTCACTGCAACTGCAGCATCAACTACACTCATGTTTGTGGTGGGGGACTGTATCCCAAAACATTAGTTTTACGTTCAGCTATTTGTAACAGACTTCAGATGTTAGGGAATTCCACAGATAAAAATACAAGAGTTCTTAAAATTCTTTGAACATCTGTGCCTTAACTGATAAGTTAATCAATTTTGTCTGCTCTTTCAGTATTTTCACCTTTTTGAGTGCCACAGCCTAAGAAGAGTCAAGCATGAAAAAATAATTAATATAGTAAAGCCAAAAGTTGTTTACACATTACAACAGAGCTGCTGTATTTTACATCTCTTCACTACTCCAGCAATCAACTTTGTACATTACAAGTCCTTATAACTGCAAAACATAAAACTCTGAAAACAAATATAAAGTCATGGAAATAGTATTACAGGTAGGTACCTTGTGAAACACAAATTGCCAGTACTGATTTTATTTCAGTATTTAGTCAGTACAGTTGATGTATGTGTTTTTTAATTATCTCTAATATTTGTTTAAGCCAAGCTGCTGAAATTAGGAACTAAATCTGCTTTTTCTTACATTTGTACTTACAATCATATGGTTTCATGCTTGCAGCCGATCTTGTGGACAATTCTTTTATCTAAAGAGAAAAATACATACATTAATAGATATAAATGCAAATGCTCAACATCTCGAAATACATATTTAGTACTAAATACTTAGTTTCAGTACTATTCCATAATGAAATGAAAATTATTACCATTTATGATCTGGGAAGACAAACACTACGTTTGTGGGACTCTATTCTACTGCCTAATGTGTATTTCATTGATGCTTAATGAATGCTGAAGACTTATTTCAGTTTGTTGTCTTATGTGAACTCATGCCTTGCACACACTGTTACGACCAGTTATAGCATGAAATGAGAGTGGGCTTACAAGCCACTTCAGCTCTTACAGTTTAAATACTTTTTGCTTCAGTAATTCACATTCAGTTTTGCAAGCACAGTTCCACTCCAGGGAAACACATAATTACACATCGATTTTTAACGTATGAGAAGTTTGGCCTGCTCAACAGTTTTGTCTGCTTGACACCTCAGTCATGCATAGAACAAAACTGAAAGCCTAGAGGAAACAAGCTGGCTGTAATTCAATCTAAAGAAAACAGGAACCTTGTGAATCCAGTATCATTAAAACACTGTTCTACATTCCAATTCCCAAAAGGGAAGCTAAACCTAAACCATAGGGACACACAGCCAATGTCAGCTGGAGCTGGCACAAGATACTGAACCCTCACCCTTTTTTATGTATTGGTTAGGACATAACCAGTAGCACCTTAATTCACTGTGCATTCAGTTCAGCTTCTACAGAAGTGTTACCTATTTCTCAAGCCCTTCCAGTTCCCAGGTATTAAGGAGGTAGATCTTTACAGCTGCATTTCACAAGCACCAAACTTGGATCCTTTTGAACCCATTTTATATCTGTGGTCATGCTGTTTTGCTTTAAATAGTCACTTTATTCCAAGTATCTTGTCTACGATTAAGACCTCTTCTATTCCCATAGCTATCAAATTTGTTAAGATGGAGATGTAAAAGCTATTCTTTGTCTCTTCAATTCTTTAAACACTTGGGTAAAGGTTTAAAACTAATATCAGGAAAAGTGTGTAGAATCAGGTACTGCTTTGTAAAGAAAAATAATCTAACAGAGGAACAGATAGTAAGGACTGAACACCAGATCAACAAAGGGATTAGACTGTCACCCACTCATCACCTCAGAAAAATCTGTAGTCATGTTTAAACAAATGCACATTTTACCAAAAAAACCTACTCACTTCCAAACAATTTTATTAATTCTCACAATTAGAAACATGATACTCCATTTCTAGTGTGAGGAGTCATGTATTTTCATATTTCAAACACTGTATCTCATTATGATTATTTTATGGCAGATTAAATCCTGCTCCCTATCAGAAATTTTTCATCTATGAGGTCTTTGGTTATTGTGAGCTGGTAGTTTTTTAACTTTGTGTTGAACTTATTAAAAGCATATGGTTTATTAATCCTTTCCGTCTAAATCGTGCTTTAGTTTAAGCCTGGGTTTACATTCCTGTGTCTCTTTTCCAGATATGTTCTTATTTATCAACATAATTTCCAAAGTGTAACCAAAATACTCCAGTAACACTCCTACCAATTGGGATTATTAACTATGCAACCAGAGACATAGAAAAGACCAAATGCTTGTTAAATGTTTCTCTGTGTCCTATTGTCTCTGAAATACAGCATGCTTCACAAAACAGACCTGCTTCTTTTGAGTAATAATCAAATGATTCTGCTCCTGAAGCCTCTGCCCTAGCTCTTCAATCCTCTTGTCAAAGGTGTTAGTTTTATTCTGCTCTTCTCTCACTGATGATTTAAGCTTCTCAATCTGTGACAGTAGCTAGAAAGCAATCAGAAGAAAAGTAATTCAATATGATTTAAAATATTTTAATGCTAGAAAGCTTAAATAAGCTAGTGTCTCCTGTGATTTCATTGGAACTTGCATACATTACAAAACAGTTGCCTGGATAACTTTATTTACACAGGGAAGATTACCTAAATCTCGATACAAAGAAAGGGACATGCAACCACATTGCTGAGATTGCCTAAAAGTAAGATTACAGGAAAAAGCACACAACTTAGTGTTAAATAATGATATTTTAAGGAGATGAGGTTTGAATTTGCATTATAAATCTAATATATTAGCTCTGATTGTAGAAGAAAAGTTATAATATTTTAGGGGCATCATCCCAAAAGTAATACTTACACATTACTCCTCCCTTATTCTATTCTTGAATTGTGTGTGGGGGTATCATTAACTACATCCTTTTGGGGGAATGTTCCATGGTTCCTCTCCACTGCTTTCTTGTCAGAGGAGGAGAAGCATTGATCAGACCACTATGATCTGCTCAGTTCTTACATGGTCACGCAGATGAAAGTAAAATGAAAGGAAAAGAAGCAAGAGAAACAAAGCGGGGAAGATATTAAAAAGAAATGCAGACATAAAAAAAATCTGAGGAATAAAGCTTTGCATAGTAAAATACATACACTGATGCAAAATAAAACGTCATGGTGTTTTTTCCTGGAAAAGCTGAACAGCTTCTGAATTAGAAAGCTACAACACAAAAAGCTGCAGACAAGTGACAGAAAAGAGAAAAAAAGATTGAGACAAATGCCACGGGTCCATGGTAGCAGGAAGTACAAGGCAGATGAAAGCTCCATTTTGGCAAGTTAAATCTCAGCCACCCAGTATATCCACAGAATGCAGGGAAAACTGTATAATGCAGTACTCATAAGAATTAGCTGTGAGCTCTTCGAAACAGAGATACAATTGAAGGTGTCTGATTTTTAAAGATAAATTCCATTTCAACTCTGGCCCTAACTGAAAAGTCAAGGCCCTGGAGTAACAGAAATACAGAGATATTAAATACCTCTAAGAGGACAACATTATAAACTCCTGAGATCTAGGCTTTAACAGTTGTATGATAGCGTATCAAGAACTACTGCATGGGTAAGAAAATAAGTAATAAGTCTCCTTCTAGTTTAAGTGGTTTGCTGTGCCACTTACCAGGGACTTTTCTGTCCTATGTTCGTGATGAAGGGCTTGCATTCTAGATGTCCATTTACTTTCCTATATGGAGGAAAGCAATATTAGTTCTTGTTAATAACATCGAGTTCGACATACAGAGCATAAATACTGAAAAGATTTTGGTGATATGAAACTTGAATAATCCCACATTTAAGACACAAAACTGTCATTGGCATGTTTAATACATCCGAGTGTGGTTTTCCTAACAGTCATGCTAGAAACTACCTCTTTGCTCCTTGATTTATATGTATGTTATGACTTTGAGTGAGAAATACACAACTATTTTGTTATATCTCTGTGTGTTAACAATCAGGGTAGTAAGAACAGGTTTTTTTCCCCCCAAATAACGTAATTTCAAACAATCATTAAGAATGTATTTTGTACAATGTATTAATAAAATGAGTTTTAGAGTGAACAGACTTGTCTTAGATGAAATAAAAAACAAAATAAAATTAGAACCTTCTAGAACTGAACTGCAACCATACATTGTTAACCTTAATATATTTAACAATGTAGAATAACAATAATAATATATTTTCTAAAGGATAAGGAAAATAATTCCTTGATTTCCATTAAAGAAATTGTACTAAAAATAGTAGTAAATCTTTAAAAACAGTTATTTTAGACATTGAGAAGGTTGAGAATTTTACTTACAGATTTACAATCATACTCAGAAATGTACAAAGTGGAAAGAAACCCCAAAACCACAAGTAGTCTATCAAAGGCAATACATGAAGTTACAGTGTTACCTGTTTTTCAAGAAGTTTAACCATATTGTGATAATCCTGAGGACTCTGAGGTTTCTCTTCTGTAAATTCTGGGCTATCTTTCAGTGTCCCTAAGTTGGATTTTTGCTGCATATTGGACTTTTGTAATTCTAACAGTTGCTAAAAGGCAGGGGGGCAAAAATGAAAACTTGAATATATGTAGAGATTTTGTTTTATAAAACCATCATTTAATACAAAATGTACTCTAAACATAACTGCTTAAGAGATTGCGTCAGACCCTTCTCACATTTCTCATGTGTTCAGCAATTATCAACTTTTATGTAATAATTTATATATACATCTAACATAAATATACCTTGCAAATATACACAGGAACTAGCAGCTACAAAATCTAAGCTGTTCTAGTAATTCTCATTCTAGTCAAAATTCTGGAAAACATTTCCAGAGCACATATTAAAAACATGTGCAGCTCTGCTGTTGGGACTATAATGCAGAGAGGTTAGTCCTCTCTGTGCCATTTATAAGAATGTTAATGCAAGGTTACCTAACAGACAACAGTAATAAAAATATCTACTGATCTGTAAACAGGCACTCAAAAGTTGAGGGGTAAGAGAAAGCTGACAGTGTTGCTCAAGGCATAATTGAAAGCTGTTACAAAAATTAACTGAAATTATATTAATAAAGTACCAGTATACAAATATACAATTATGGCTATCAGCCCTCCATTATTTTTAAAGTTTTTTAAGAGGACCACTTAGATGATTACATCACATTTCATATATGTGAAGTTCACTACCATCCACTGTAACGGATACATACCTTAAAACGTTGGAAAATTTAAATCACTTACATTTTCTAATGTTGAATTTCTTGAAGATAACTCCTTAAACTCTTTCATAAACATTTCTTTCACTTTTTCTATTTCATCAGCCAATTTATCTTTTTCCTCCTCTTTCCATTTATGAAGTGATTGTAGAATTCCTTCTTCTTTTGATTTTTGCTGTTCACATTCCTGAAATTATTTTGAAAACATATTTGTTATTTTTCCCCACATGCAATACTAATTTAAGCACCACAACTATGTGTGGGAAGCAATCACTTTCAATGGGCAACATTGTGACATCAAAAACCACGAAAAAACACCAGTTTCCAAAGAATTCTGGGGTAGCAAACTATGAGGTTTGTTAGTAAAACACGCATGCTCCAAGAAGTAACACAAGAATGACCTTAGATTAATCTAGTTCAGCATTCTGTCTCTTACAGAGGCCCTAAGTGTGTAAGTGGGAAAGGACAATAACAGGGCAAACAAACACGCACATTCTCCTTAATACGCTGCAAGCTGTCAACTGTTTTCAGCTCAGTGAAACCTGATACAGTTTAGTAAACTGTTTTTGGCTTCTGCTAGGTTAATTTGATGGGACATTAGGTCCTGAACTGGAGAAGTGAGGGAATGACTGATACCTATTCACTCTATGTAATACATGACTTCACAGTCTGTATTTAGAATGGCTGAGCATGCTAAGCAGCATCACAGAATCAGAACTGTCAAAGTTGGAAGGGACCTCTAGAGGTCGTCTAGTCCAACTCCCCTGCTAAAGCAGGATCCCCTAGAGCACATTACTCAGGGCTGCATCCAGGTGGGTTTTGAGTACCTCCAGAGAAGAGGACTCCACAACCTCCTTGGGCAGCCTGTTCCAGGGCTCTGTCACCCTCACTGTAAAGAAGTTTTTCCTCATGTTTAAATAGAACTTCCTGTGTTCCAGCTTGTGCCCATTGCCCCTCATTCTGATGCTGGAAACTACAGAAAAGAGTCTGGCTCCATCCTCCGTGCACCCATCCTTTAGATACTTTAGATTATTTACATTATATATTTATTAGAATTTAGATTATATAGATATTTTAGATTCATAAGGTCTCCCTTCCCTTCAGCCTTCTCTTCTCCAGCCTAAACAGTTGCAGCTCTCTCAGCCTTTCCTCCTAAGAAGGAATCCAATCCCTCAGTCACCTTTGTTGCCCTCCACTGGACTCTCTCCATTAGTTCCCCATCTCTTTTGAACTGGGAAGCCCATGATTGGGTACAGTATTCCAGATGTGGCCTCACCAGGGCAGAGCAGAGGGGGAGAATGACCTCTCTCGACCTACTAACCACACTCTTCTTTATGCAACTCAGGATTCCATTAGCCTTCTTGGCAAGGGCACATTGCTGGCTCATAGACAACTTACAACTTACCTGCCAGGGCTCCCAGATCCTTCTTCTCAGAACTACTTTCCAGCAGGTCCACCCCTAACCTATATTGGTGTATGGGGTTCTTCCTTCCCAGGTCAGGACCCTACACTTGCCCTTGTTGAACCTCATTATGTAATTTAGAGACTTTTTTTCTCTTTATGAACAAGTAAGCACTACCACAAGACTCAATATCACCCTAAATAGTCTTGCATGTGATCACAAGTAGATAGTGCTTTTATATAATTCTAAGTGTTGGGTTTTTTTTATTCAGACAGCAGTAGCTAAGATTAACTTCTGCTTTGGCTCTCTAGTCAAACAAATTCTAAACATTTAAAGACCAATATGCAAGGTCTAGATTGCTTTGTTTCTTCTGAATGTCTCCTCGACTGCTTTACACCTCTTAGTTTTTCACAGCAAAGAACAGATCTTACTCTGTTTTGAAGTTACATATAAAATCACGGTCATACGTAAGAAACATGTAGTCATTAAAGATCTCATAATATTAGAAACAGCTAATATTTAAGTACAGCAAGGCAATTTTATCTGTTTCAGTAACAGGCCACCCATCTTATGAACTCACAAGTGCTAACAGAAGTGTTGTCTTAAGTATTCATTTAAAGCATGCCTAGAACAAAAGTAAGGAAAAAGTAGATGTTTAAAGTTGAGGGGGGGAGGGAGAGATATGTTCTAATGCCCAAGCACCACTGTTGTCAGGCAGACAAGCTGTACATGTATTGTTGTTCTATTCCAGTTACAAAATGAGTGAACACAGTCAAAAGTACTAACTCTTTTGAGAGGTCCCTACTACTTAGTACATATTACCTTAGAAAACCTGACCATATTAGCCTGTTGTTCAGCCTCTAACTGAGACTTGGTGAGCTGCAACTGCTCCTTCAGTTTATCAACTTCACCCTGCAATATGTCTGTCTTTGCCTTCCTCTTCAGTTCTGTTTGAAAGAAACACAGATTTAAAGAACATCTGCTGTAGTTTCTGGAAATGTGATACTTGATGCAAATACATTTCTACAGCGTTTCAGTAACATCTTCACAAAGTGCGGCTCTCACAGACCATTTCCCTTCACACTGTGATTGTCCAAAGATGCTTTTAAACATGTATGTTCTCTGGACTGCTAACATGATCCTCAAAGACTGAAAAATACCAATATGTGAAGCAAGCATGTGAAATAGTTTATGAAATACTTACAATAAAAAGTATTTTATTACTTCATTTCAAAGGAATCTAAGCAAAACAGACTAAAAAAAGGATATATGAAGGGCAAAATAAACTTCAATTATTCAATTCTGTTATGTTTAATTTATTCTAAATAACTGCTGTAAATAGTCCATTTGGAATAAAAGTCATTATTTATCTGGAACGAGTCAGAAGGAGTGTCATGGTACAAAAACATTGTAAAATATGCAAAAATTATACCATGCCTTCACCTTGAAAAATTTTCTCAATTTACCAAGGATTTACTAGCCCATCATCTGGGAATATGAGCACAATACAGGACATTTCAGAAATAACTGCACAGATTATTTCTCTCACACAGCCATGGCAAACAAATTATTTCTATGATAATTAGTTTAACTGGTTCTGCAACATCTTCCAGTATCATTTTTATCAAGCGTAAAGTGCTCAAGAGCCTCTTTCTTCCTCCAATATATTAAGGCTTCCTTAGGTGCTTACTCAGACACCTCTCACTACTTTTGCTGGTTTATTTGCCTGATAAGCTACAGCTCAGACGCTGCTAGATCCTTCCCACATGCTTTTTTTTCCTAACTCATTTCTAATAGCTACCATTTATCAATACTTGTTAGTCCTTATCAGTAAATCATAAGAATGCAGTCTTAACTGGAAGGAGAGAATTCAAAGATGAACTTTGAGAACATTGTGCTTCAAACTAAACGTTTTTCAATGAAGAAAGACACAAGTGCAGAAGTTAGTGGTATAGCAACTGAGATCATCATAGATACATGAAGTTCTATTATTATTGACAGTTTATAAAGTTCTATTATTATTGACAACTTATTTTCCTCACTATATTTTACAAGCAGTTTAGTTTGGGAGAGCCTGATCCTAGTCAAACTGATTTCAAGTGAGCTGGATAATTTCTGTACTGGTAATGCATATATATTCACAAAATGTACTTTCCTTAGAGTAACTTGTTCATTTTACCCACACCTTCATAACACAAATCT